GGACGTGGCCGTGGAGGGAGACAGAATGGGCGTAGAGGAAGCGATCTCGTCCTGTACGTCCCGCTTGGGACTGTCGTGCGCGAGGTCGCGCTGGTGAGGGAAGAGGCGGAACAGATGGAGGCGGATGGAGAGGTGATGATAGTGGGGGAGGAAGATGTCGTGAAGGTGGGAGACCAACAGGTACCCGGGGCGGTATCGGTGGCGGGCCACTCAAAGTTTGAGGAGGACGTGGAGATCGCCGAGCTGAACGCGGACGGGGAGCGCGCGCTGGTGGCGCGCGGGGGCCACGGTGGTCGCGGGAATGTGTCTTTCAAGTCGTCTACGAATCGGTCTCCGGAACTAGCGGAGCCGGGGGAGTCCGGGGAGTCGCGACGCGTGGAGCTAGAGCTGAAGAGCATTGCGGACGTGGGTCTGGTGGGGATGCCGAACGCGGGGAAGAGCACGCTGTTGCGTGCGATGTCTGCGGCCAAGCCGCGAGTGGCGGCGTACCCGTTCACGACGCTGCGGCCGCACATCGGGGTGGTGCGAGCGGTGGAGCGCGGGGTGCCGCTGCACCGGACGCTGAGCGTGGCCGACATCCCGGGGCTGATCGAGGGCGCGCACGCCAACCGCGGGCTCGGCCACGCCTTCCTGCGCCACATCGAGCGCACGCGCGTGCTGGTGTACGTGCTCGACATGGGCGGCGAGCATGCAGTGTGCGAGCTCGCTGTGCTTCGCAAAGAGCTAGAGCTGCACGAGCCGGGCCTCTCGCGGCGCCGGAAGTGCATCGTCGCCAACAAGATGGACGTTACCGGCAGCGGCGACGCGCTTCGCAAGCTCGTGAACAGTGTCGGCGACGCCGTCGACGTCTTCCCGGCCTCCGCCAAGCACGGCACCGGCATCGCTGCCGTTGTGGAACACCTCTCCTCGGCGGTGGTGTAGTCTTTCACCCACGCGCGCGCGTACGCCACAGAAGCGTCCGCCGCGCGGCCGCCGATCTCCCCCGCCGCGCGCCAAGTCAAACAGGTGGCGCGCGAGAGCGCGC